AATACCAACAGGCCCTTGCTAAAGAACGTACATGTGAACAAGCTTCGCAATGTAAATTCGCTGAACTCAATGAGGAACTAGCCGTGAGTGATAATTTTATCTTCATATCCGTGTCATGTATATGCATCTACATAATTTTAATATCATATTTGTAGTCCATCTCCAAGCTATTAGATGAAAAATCTCGTCTTTTCACGGAAGCTGAAAAATCAAAGGAGGCTGTACTCTCTAAACTCACCAAACTAGAAGCTCGTCATACTGCCGCCAAGGCCTGTTTTGCGGAATATCAAGCTCAAGATAGTCGAATTCGCGACGATTTTCTTCACGCCAAAAATGCATGTAGGCGTCTTAATAATGCTCTTCGTTCTGAGCAAGTTAAAATGGAGGAATTTGAGAAATTGCCTAGCCAGTCGGAAGAACGTAGATCAGCGCTTAAATCTATATTGATGGACTTGGAAAAGAATAAGACATTATTTGACGCTGCATACCAGGTTTATCAAATATACTTTAAATTGCCATTTTATTTTGCTACATTATTTACCCATAGGTCTAGCGTCCAGGCTATTCCTGAACATAAAATATTCCCTATTAATGCCACAATTTAATGTTGATGCATTTAATTACACCATGAATATGGATCATACACTTCTTTAATTTAAATAATTAATCGAAGATATGAAGACTAAGATGGTGTGGCCTTTTGTGTCGTCGCAGTCACCTTTCGTTGTATAGAAGTTGTTTGACCTTGTTTTCGCATCTTAGTCATAATGGTAGGAAGACTTATAGAAACGCACCTTGTCCTGAGTCCATTGTATGTATAATTATTTCCAAAGTCGGACCGTGTATGTGGTACATTCCCAGAAGTATCGCCAGTGAGTTTTACCATTCGTAGCAGTATATTACAACTCGTCAAAGACAAGTGAAGCCGATCTTCGACAAATCGTGTGCTAAACAGTTATGGTATCTCCCATTCTGTCCTGGCCTATCACATTTCCTATATCCTCCAATCACGCCTTCACTGTCACAATATTTTACTTGCTTAATTAGAATGTGGTCGGTGCCCTTTTTTTAGCGGCTTTCATTAGAACTCTCCGCACTCCACGCTGGCCTTCTCACCGCCCTTGATCATTGTGCTGGGAATGTTGATCGGAGTCTGCCATATTGTTACGCAGTCCTTCCTTGGATCTTACCCCGGTCTCTCTCTTGCCCCGTAAGATCCGTCTGCCCTCTCTCTGGTTCACATATTCCACTCGACCCCTGCCACCCCATCTGTGCCAACTTGAGGCGTTATTAGCCCTACCCTGCGTCTGGGTGACT